CTTTTTTGAGTATTATTAATGGAATACACGGACTCTTCAAATCCCATATTTTATAAGATCTTTCCTCACCACCTGTTCAATATACCATTAAAATGCCGATCAGCGATTTGCGACACGAAACAAAAGAACAAAGACGAAGATTGTTGTACCATTCTCGCACCCAGATCGTTCTCAGTTTTCTAATGGAAATCAAAACCTCTGTTTGGAAACGATACCGGAAGGCCCAGAATCTGGGTTGTACGATGTAAGCATACAGATGCCGCACGGGAATTTTTGAACCAATCAAATGAAAGACTCACTCGTTTCCAAACAGAGCCTTCGATTTCTCGTTGGAAAACTAAGAATCTGGGTACAAAATGTACGAGAATGGTTGTTGTACTTGCCAGTCACAATGATGTCTTGATTTGTTGGGCAAAAAGCCAAATCGCGCACTAATGAAGAATGGGCGTTGATAAGAACGAACGGTGCCATACCTAAGTAACAAGGAATAAATAAATAAATGATTATGATTACAGATTAACAATAATTACCGTTATATTCGTTTTCATAAAACCGTGAAATACACTTTTGCGTTCTACATTTTATTACTCAGTTTTTTTTTGTACGTTTGTCTTTATCTTTTCAGTGTTTCACGCTTTATTTCACGTTGACTATATTACAGTTTGTTTCAAGAGTTTATGGCAATCCCACTACTGCAATAATTAATTATTAATTAATAGTAATTATAATGATGATATGATTAACCATGGTAATCATTTGTAATTACGCAATGTATGATGTTGATTTTCCAGAGTTTTTGTCAACAGTGCAGACTTCGACGACAAATTCCAAACTGCCACAGAACCTATAAAATCAAGARAAGATTATAAAAACAACAGCAAAAAAACAAGAAATCAAATCAAAGAATTATAATTGCAACAAACCATCTGAAAACCCWGCAGCAATACGATGAAAAGGTTTCACTCGAGACCAGTCCACGCACAATGCCATGCCGCGCTGACCGTTGTAGTTGCCGTTCAAAGCGCAAGGGAAAAGATCAATCAAAGATGGACCATGAACCATGACTAAGACAAACAAACAAACAAATTTAAAACAAAAAAGAAAACAGCAATAACAACAACAACTGTATGACCAATTTAGCTTAATGAACAACTKGTATCAATGTGTTCCCTAATTCTCTTAATGGAAAAGGAGGCATTTACGGAATAGGTCTAGTCCAGTCCCGGCCTCCCTTTCGACCCACTTCATGACGGGTCGAAAGGGAGGCCGGGACTGGACTAGGAATAGGCCATTTGCATGATGGCGTAACTAAACTACAATTACTTGAGATCCTTGCGCATTTTCATTGTTATCCAAACTTTTAATCCCTTAAGAGATTAGMATTAATTGCATGAAAAAAGAAAGTTGGCAAAGCATTCTAGTTGAAGTTAATGACTACATAATACAAATCTTGAAATAATTGTCGAATAGTCACCTTGATAAAATTCTTTGYCTTGGACTGCTCCAGTTCTCCGATGTGAAAGTACAGGCAGCTTGGACAACAGCTTATCAGGATATGGAATACTATACAGGGAAAATGTCTTGTAAGTAAGAAAAAAAGGTTTCTCACCCTACCCATGTGATTCCAACCCAATTATTCCTGCATGGGAGGGGTGGGGAATACATTACACAGGCTAGAAGACAAACGCTCAATCCTAATGGTCCTCTAAAGCTTTTACGTCATATACCGTATACGCAATGCATTGTAGGATATTTACTCCGACGAAATACTAACGTCCGAAACGTCAGTAAGTTATTTCACCTACATTTTTACGATGTTAAATTTATCTTTTTACACAACAGTTTCTTTAGAAACACCGACGCAGCTCACATTCGTTCACAGCTAGTTTCCACCATTGTAGGATATGTTTGGGACAGAACATGTCGGATTTCTTTTGTTTTCTCTAGRAACTGAACCCACAATGCATTGAAAGTTAAGCAGTGACGTAAAAGGGTTCAGAGGTCTATATATGTTTTGTTGTACCTCAGAATTCGCACAATCCCATCACCACAGGCAACCGCTAAAAGACCAAGTCTGGGTACACAATCATCCTGGAAAAAAAAAAGAAAAAAATGCTATAATGAAGAGCGTTTTCCTGGTAAACATTTTTTTATCACCCCTTTATTATGCACGTATCGACCTCTGTTGTTATACAGTTGAAACCTCTATTAAGCAGCCCTCTATTTAACGGTCACCCTCCATTAACCGGTCACTTATGACTTCTCCCTAAAGCCGCTTCTCATATATATTTACTGTAAACGCGACCTCTGTTTAACGGACAACCTCTATTAATCGGTCACCTGGTGACCGTTTAATAGAGGTTTGACTGTAATTAATCACTCACATCAGTGGTCGCATCAGGTTGTTGCCAAGTTCCAAAAGGGCACCAAATCATCTTGTAAATTGGACCAAAGTCATGAGCAATACAAAGAGCCAACTTAGGAGAATCCCCAGATCTGAAAGTTGARGCAATAATGTCTGATAGAATGATATATTAAACCAATGATTGATTAATRACAAAAGCCCTCGTGCATCCAAGAAAATTTGCGCCAATTTTTCACACATGGTTCATGCTATATTTTCACTTCCTTTTCTTCGTTTCCAGAAGCGATTTTCAAAAATAGCCACATTTCAATCCAAAAGCCAACAAGCAAAATGTCAATTTCAGATCAAGATTCAAGGAGTTTTATAATTTCCAGGAGTTTTAGCAACTTTCTCCATTTTCAAGAGCTTTCAAGCACCCTTGAAATTGAGTTTTYATTTCCAGGGCTTTTCAAGGWTTARCACGAAYCCTGGAATTCTGATAGTTCTAGTAAAACGATGCCACAAAGCAAATCKCTTATTGCTTGATTTGATGGACTTACCTGGATGAATTACTGGATAACTTGCCCAAATTCCATACCTGYAGAGTTCCTTTACCCTTGTGACACTTATAAGCATGATAAACCTGAAATTAAACAAGTTTCAGGAAAGCAACGAGGTATAAGGAGACTACAAGTCCCCTGGTAGACACATTTAGGCCCCTAACATCACCCCTAGGTCAGCTCCTTTGGTCAGTAAAGCGAGGAAGATATGTTACTTACCGTTTCATATGATCTGTGAGTACTGACAACAATAAATTGGTCGACATTTGTGCTAATATCTAGAACCAAAAAATTCAGAGTTTATGATCAAATGTTGTTCACAATGTATGTCTATTAGTCTTATACAAAKACCTTACTTACCAGAAGTAGGGCACCAGGAAAGTCCCCACACAGGCCCACCAGCATAAAATGTACGATCTCCATACTTGCCACCTAAATGAACAAATGTAAACTTTCAGGCAAAGCTAACTTTGAAGGTAACGTTTTTAAGTGCATGCATTATCATTTAGTCCTCCGAAATTGTTCCTTCCCCTTCCACCATATTATATAGACTATACCAATAAAATAGCATCTTAAAATACTATGCAACAAAAATACTATGCAACAAACGTTCAAAAATTATGTAATGACTAATCTTCTATTCTTCATTATTTTACAATGAACAAGTTCCCACAATGTTTGTACTATACTTGCGCCGATTCTCTCAACAAAGCTCTCAAAAATGTGAAAACATTAAAAAATTGTGTAATGACTAATCTTTTATTCATCATTAATTTACAATGAACAAGTTCCCACAATGTATGTACTATGCTTGCTCCAAGTTTCTCTAACTCTTAACTCTCAAAGAGCTGCAGTTCTTTGGAATAAGCAGTAACTCCTCAGAATGACAGTTATTTGGAAGTCTTGTCATTGCTTGAGAGTAAAGATGGAAAAACACAAGTTGTCTACCACAATTAATCCTTTATTGAAAGTGGTGTAACAATTTAATGAAACTTACTGCTGTTTTTATCCAGGCTGGTAAAAAGAGAAAGCTGACTATCTTCAAGATTGTCGCTGTTCTTGTTGTTGGGCCGTGAAATAATAAAATGAGGTGATTTTGTTGAAACAGGAATATATTCTGGAATATTGCTATGGACACAAAAAACACAAAATATACTTAATACTCCAGTTTTGATTTCTCTTTTTGTGTAAATTAGTTCAATCAAGAATAAATTTTTACATAACAATAGGATCTCTGCCGAATAAAAGAATATATTACATGCTTTTGAGGTTAAGGCTGCACAAATAAGATCTTGAAACTGGAGTATTAGAATGAATGAACGATTGACAGATTGATTAAATGATTGACAGATCAAATGAATGACTGACAGACTGAATGAATGATAGACAGATCAAATGAATGATTGACAGACTGAATGGATTGACAGATCAAATGAATGATTGACAGACTGAATGAATGATTGACAGATCAAATAAATGATTGACAGACTGAATGAAAGATTGACAGATCAAATGAATGACTGACAGATTGAATAAATGATTGAATGAGTGATTGACAGACTGATTGAGTGATTGTCAGACTGAATGAATGATTGACAGATTGAATGAATAATTGACAGACTAAATGAATGAATGATTGACAAACTGAATGAGTGATTGACAAACTGAATGAGTGATTGACAGATCAAATGAATGATTGACAGATTGAATAAATGATTGACAGATCAAATGAATGACTGACATACTGAATGAATGATTGACTGCATAAAGTGATCACTTACTTTGCTGTAACTCTACACCAGTGATGGATTACAGGCATGTGTTCTTGATAGATTTGTTCTGCATCAATATTGCTTGTTTTCCTGCATTACATTAAATTATAGTTAAGTTCATTTTATGGGAGGAGAAGCAGAATCACACCTTCAAACGTTTTTATGAATATAAAAAAAGACAATATAAGGGCATTGTAACATTAAGGCTAATAATTTGCTTATTGCACACACACAGTACTCTTGATCTTATACAAGTGTAAAGATTGTTATTGTTGTGGTTTGAAATTTGCATTGGTTTGAAATTTTTTTGAACTGGTTTGAATTTTTGAAAACTTCAAACCAGTTTAAAAAATTTCAAACCAAGGCACATTTCAAACCACAACAGTTATTACCATCTTTCATGCATTCTGTATGCTCTGCTCCATATTCCAAAAGCAACTGATATCGTTTTGGTTTTATTAACTACAAGAAAAAAGTTAGATATTAACAGTTTTGTGTCATTTATATCCATCCATCCATCCCTCCATCTATCCAAATCATGTATTCAGTCAATAATTCATCAACCCATTACAGGATTCGTGCTACATTTAAACTACAAAATTTCAGGACTTTTCCAGTGCTTTTTAAGCACAAAAATGGGATTTTCAGGGACTATTTTTGAAGATATTTTTTGATGTTTGCGGACGTTTCCAGAGGCGATTTTTAAAAATATCCACATTCAATCCAAAAGCTAACAMGCAACATGTCAATTTTATCAGATTCAAGGAGTTTTCCAGGAGTTTTAACAATTTTCCCATTTTCAAGGGCTTTTCAAGCACCCCTGAAAACGAGTTTTCAAAACCAAGACTTTTCAAGGATTTCAAGGAGTAGCACAAACCCTGCCATTCATCCATTTGTTCATCTATCCACATATCCATTTCTCATTCTTTTTTTCATTYAACCATCCATCCATTGACCCATTCATTTATTTAACCATTTTCATTCATATTTCATTCTTACTTTTTTTCTTAACATTATGTTTTCTTTTAGGCTCTTCAAGCTCCTGTAACTCATCTTCTGCATCAATAACTACATCGCCATCCTCTTCCTCGTCTTCTTCCTCTTCTGATTCTTCAATATARTCATCTTCACTGTTATTCTCTTCATTCTCGGGCTCCTGTGGTAATAAAGTGAAGAAACAAATCATTTCTGAGGCAGCCCACCCATTCTTTCTCACAAAGATACTGCCAATGAAAAGAATAAAATTACTTAATAGACCTAATCGGCTAACGCGATGCCATGTATGTTATCACCCAATTCAAATCCTGTGGGAAAAAAAACTTTTGTCGGTAAGAATTTGACTGTGAAATGAAAATACAACGAACAATGAAACTTACTCCTGAGTGGTTTGAATTGGGTGGAAACGTTTATAGTAACGCATTATTAGGTCTATTTACAAAGTTTTTGAAAAAATATTTTTCACAATTGTGTAAACCATTATCAACAACAATAAGAACAGACTAAAATAATTAGTTTCATTACCTAATTTGAGAAAAATATTCAGAGCAAACTAGACCACAAAATTGTAAATTTACTTACCTTTAGATGCATTGATTCCACATGGTAGCGTGCACCAGTGATAGTTAGGAATTCCTTTTCACATTCTTTACACTTATAGGGAGCCTCGTCAAATCCACACTGAAGAAAGTGAGTTTGAAGCACATGCACCGATGTAAAGGTCTCTGTACAGGCCTATCAACAAATAGCATAATTTGACAGGTTTTGATTGACAGCAGGGAATGCCTGAGCACACAGGGAGCCCATGATTTCCCCTTTCAAAACCATGAATTAAAATGAATCAACATAAATGAGTTTGGGCTAGGAACCAGCATGGGCTCAGGTTCCAGCGGAATACCCCCAGCAAGGAGGTAACCATGGCAACCAAGCCACAGCCCACCACCAGTACCTGTCACACTGATTAATTACATTTAGCCCTATTAAAAAAAAGAAATATACATACCTTTTACAGTCAAATATTTATTTAACCTTTTTCTATTTGTAATTTAAAAGGAGATTTATATTTACTAGTTTTCTCACTTCTCAATGACTCTTTTGCATCTAAAACAATAGCTTGCAATGACGTCACATTGAAAATTTAGTATATCCTACATCTGCATGTATCAGGTTTATTCTGTAAAATAACAATATTTATGGGCAAACACTGGATGAAACTCAGGCTAGCTATATTGGATCCTGTCAAAGACAAACCATGTATGGTCCCTCCCCTTCCCCTGGTATGCAAACCCTCTGTGAACAGTATAGGCTAACTTTGATATAGGTATAGCCTTGAAAAGCTCAATACTCTTCTTCAAGGGTCCCTGCAACATCTTGAAAGGTAGCAGTGCCTTTGTGTACTGTTGAGCGTCCAATGATAGAAACCTTCTTTCACACCTACAGATAATTATTGATGGGTAACTATCATTGCAAAATCACTAGTTGTCTTGCTTCGGTGTAAAGGCACGGCTACCTTTCAAGATGGCGCTGGGAACTGTGAAGGAGACTATTCATGGAATAAATTAGTACCTCATTTGGACAATTTTTGGGGCCATTGGTCTTGATTTCTTCTTTCCAYTTGACCAACATTGCATGTGTTATCAGTCCCTGTCTTTGTTTTAAGATGTAAGCATCACAGTGTTCGTATCTTTTGTATACTGGACCTTGAGCTTCCTCTATTTTGGTTTTCTTTAGATCTTGGACCCTCTCCATTGCCCTGGAGGATTTATAATAATTTTAGAAACATTTGTAAGCATCTACCATTATAAAAAAATTATTTAAGCTATCCACCAATCAATCAATAAAGCAATCAATTAATTAATAAATCATGCATTCAATCAATCAATCAATCAAGATCAATCAATCAATCAGCCATGAAGTTAGTCAATCAATCAGTGAAATCAATCAATGAGGCAATCAATCAATCATTAAAGTAATCAATCAATCAAAAATTTCAATCAATTAATTAGTCAATCAATCATTCAAGTAATCAATCAATCAATGAATTCAATCAATCAGGCAATCAATCAATCAATCAATCATTTAAGTAATCAATACTAGAAACAGGAATACAAGCTGACCATGTCATATGCTCTTTAAGTAATCAATCAATCTATCAATCAGTCAATCAATCAATCAATCAATCAATCAATCAATCAATCAATCAGTCAATCAATCAATCAATCAATCAATCAATCAGGCAATCAATCAATCGATCATTTAAGTAATCAATCAATCAATAATTTCAATCATTTGTGTTTTAACTACTCACCTGACTGCAGCATGTCTAAGTGCTTTTCCTGATTCACTGACAAGTTGCTCTCTATCACCAGTTTTGTTATCTTCAGTTGGTTTCTTTTCAACAACAGGTTTTTCCTGGTAGCAAATTTCAATCCATCAAAAACTTAATGAATGAACTCAAATAAACCAATGAAACATTTGACTAACGGACAAAAATCCAGCAAATGAGTCCACATACCAAGCAAAAACAAACAACCAATAAAGTGACTAGGCAGACATAAAGTAAGTGAATACAATAATCATAAAGGATAGTTTGTCTGTCTTATACAAATAACTTACAGACATGTAACTTCTAAGTTTAGTGAGTATAATAATTCTAATGTACTGTACATGTAATCAACATAAAAAATGTGAGCAAAACTGATTGAAATTGCTGAGATAAATATTTCTTGTGAATTTAGTTTTACAAACTAAATTTCAATTGAGTTACATGGAGTTTTGAATTTGGAAGGTACATGCTTGAAGCACCATATTCACAATCAAACTCAGGGGCGTCTCCAAGATTTTTCTCAGGGAAGGGTGTGGGGCTCTCAGGAGGGGGTGCACCCCACAAAAATCATTAAACCATGAAGATAAAAAGTAAGGAAATTATTGAAGGATACAGATCTCAGGATGGGGTGCGCACCCCCCTGCACCCACCAGCTGGATCCGCCCCTGAAACTTTGTCCATCTTTACCGTATGAGCAGATTTCATATGATACTTCAGTCCTGGTAATGTATTGTACTCTTTCTGACAGATTTCACATTTTATGACTTCTCTAGTCTCCTTTCCACACARGTCCATGTGAATTTTGTATCCAAGGTAGGATGAAAACTTTTTTCCACATTTATAATCACAATGAATCAGCTGCCCTTTCCGTGCTTTYGCTTTCAATGAGGCAACCTGTTGAAAGAAGAAAAACAGAATTGAAATATGCAAGCATATGCAAGCAGTCTGCGTACTGGTCCTACCATATCCTCTCATTTTATTTCAGAATATGTTGAGTACTAAAGATCGTGTATTCCAGTACCAAAATGTATTGCAGCTCATTGACCAAGATGCTCTAAATGGAAACTTAAATGTTTGATATAGAAATAAAGGAAAGTTATAGTGCTAGGAAGGAGCTTATTCTGGAACAAAGACCCTTGGAAATAAATTTGGAAAAAATAATTCTTTGTACTTCCTAGCACTAATTAATGTATCTCATAGTGCCATGCAGTCCTTACATTCATATCTTTACATTCTTATTACCGCAACCTAACATCTATTTCACCCCGACCTGCTCCCAGTCTGGCCTTGTAGATCAGCTGGTAGAGCATCGGTAGTACAAATCCGAGAGTTAATGGATTTGCATCCCAGCAAGGTCAGATATTAGTTTTACGAATTTATTTCCAAGGGTCTTTCTCCTGGAGTAACCTCCTTCCTAGCACTACAACTTTCCTTTATTTCTATATCATGTATCTTATAGTGCCATGCGGTCCTTACATTCATATTTTAAATGTTTTTGAGTTAGGCGTTTTATTATTGCTTAGATTCAAAATGTGATTTGAGCATCCTCTCTTTGACTAAAAGGAAAKAAATCTGGAAGACATAAGGAAAGCCCTATGAGCAAGGAAAGCATGCTTTTAATAAGGCTTACCCTTTCTTCTTCTGTAAGTGTTTTCCTTCCTTTCTTTTTAGGGGAGTTATCGATGTCATTTGCAACATTATTTCCTTGCTCTGTGTCCTGTCCATCTTGTTCTTTGATCACCTTTACTTCACTTTTGTTTTCATTAGCTTTTTTCCTTCCCCTCTTTTTAGGAACTTTAACTGCTTCAACTACATTTTCTTGTTGACTATTCTCTTCAGAAGCAACTATGTCTTTATCATTGTGCTGTACTGCAGTCTCTTTTTCACTGCTAGAAATAAAACTCTTGCWCTTGCTCTCTGTGGCCTTTTTTCTTCCYCTCTTTTTAGGGGGAAGYTTATCAKGTTCAYCTGTATTCCTTTCTTTGCTATTTTCTTCCGTAATTACTTTTTCTTTATCAWTACAATGCACYCCAGTCTTATCGCYAGCATCRATACTAATATTATCATCTTCTATATTCTGTGACTGTTTTTCAACTATTTTTTCTTTATCTTTGACATTATTTTGTTTTTCATTATCTGTAGTTGTTCTGATTCTTTTAGGTCGGCCTCTCTTTTTTGGTTTCTCTGCTTCATCTTTGCTTGCTGGTGGTGTTAGTGTTGGTGATGCTGTTGCATTATTAACACCACAACTATCAACCTCTTTGTTTTTATTTGGTGCTGACTTTGGTGTCGCTGTTGCTATGCCATTTTCATCATCATCGTCATCATCATCATTATCATCATCATTCTCGTCTTCAGAGCTGTCTATGTGGGCATAGTTGACTAAAATTAATAATAAAAAAATATTAAACATATTAGCATACAAAATGAACGTGGTTTGCAGCTACAACTAACTTAGCAGGGACGTTAACTCTCCCGGATTTGCCGGGAGACTCCCGGTTTCAGATCGAATCTCCCGTTCTCAAGATTTTAGCCCTAAATCTCCCGGATACGCACGATATTTTCATAGAATGATATTAATTACTAACCATCATTGTAGATTTTTATTTTCAAAGAAAACCTTCAATGGATATCACGTTTCCTCGATCTTTCTATACGGAACAAAATACCTACAGGCGTTGCTTACGTATACTCGCGCATGAAAAAGATATAAACTGATTATGCAACGTTATTTGTGACGTCATTCACATGGTGTGACGTCATACACATAATCGAGGCAATTTCTCCAGATATATAAAGCTCTGGGGTTGACATCCCTGACTTAGACTTATATATGTAACTCTTTTCACAGTCAATTTTCAATGACTAATATGCTTTTGTTTACATAAATTACATCTTGACTCCTTTTATTTTGAAAATTGTTATTTCAACTTGTTACTATATAAGTCTAGTAATGTTTCAAGTCCTCCAATTCGGACTGGACAGGATTTCAAGTCCTTGCAATTAGTTCCAGTCCGAATTGGAGGACTTGAAACATTACTAGACTTATATAGTAACTCTTTTCACAGTCAATTTTCAATGACTAATATGCTTTTGTTTACATAAATTACATCTTGACTCCTTTTATTTTGAAAATTGTTATTTCAACTTATTTATTCCTGGATATAATTCAGTCCTACCTTTCTTTACTGTCGACCTTGAACTTCTTCTTGACGGTGGAGTAACTTTATCCTTTGGAGTTTCAGCTGTTTTCTTTTTTCTTGCTGGCTTCTTCTTGGGAGTTACAAATTCTTCTCTGTTCAAGTTTGCTTCTGATGTGACAACCTTTTGTTTCTTTTTACAKTGAGTTTCGGATTTTTTGGGTCGCCCTCTCTTTCTCTTTTGAGGTTCATTTAACTTCTGTTTAGAAGTGTTATTGCTTACATTACAAGAATCTGTAGTTGCTACTAATTTATCGTGACTYTTATCAGCAGAAGTTTCATTCTCTTCTGTTGTAGTAGAAGAATTTAAATRTTTTACTCTATCAGTAGTTCCTTTTATAATATCAGGAATAAATACATTTTCTGACACATCGCTAATGTCTGTTTTTTGTGACGAATGTTCTGAAGCATTAATAGAATTATGTGCAAGTTCTTCTTCGGCARTAGTAGTAGAACTAGTTTCTGAAGTAATTTCAATGGTTTCTCTTTCAGTGTCAGACACYATCGTTGAATCTTTCTTTGTACTTTCTGAACTCTTAGATTTTTTATTAGCAACAGTGACATCCTCTTTTTCTTGCAAAARTGTTCTTTTTAAACCAGATACTTCTTTATTTCCTACAGTTCCACTATCTACGACTTTCTTGTTTTTGTTATCTTCACCAGGRCAACTTTCACAATGTTGTTGAAGTATAATTCGAGTAGAAAAACCCTCGTTGCACTTGTCACATTTAAACTTAGGCGCATTACAAGTGTTTTTCTTCAAATGGAAGCGAAGACCCCAGATGGATTTGAAAGTCTCTGAACAGCCCTCAGATGGACATCTTACAACCCCTTCCTCTTGAAGTTTGACTTTCAGTTTCTCAAGTTCCGTTTCACTCAGTTGGTAAGAAGACATTTTGTCATAAGTAACACTTAACAAAAATAAATAAGCTTAAACACAGTTCCAACTAAGTTGTAATTCCTTGCCTTCGAAGTACCATATTCGACGAAATCTACCAAAAAATTGTCGAAGTATGTCCTTTTTTCTGAGTTTCACTACTTGCAAACAGTAGTGTATATAATATTGGTCAAATTATGGTCATAAAATGCTGCATCATTGCGTTAGTTCTGCTGTAAATATGATAGAAACACAAACTTCTACTTATACAAGATTCGTCCGCCATGTTTTCTTCCRCTTGAAGCCGCTGACACTAAACAGGAAGCCCAACAGGACACAGGAAGCCCATGCGTCCAAMATCGTTACGTAACGGATACGTAACGCAATAATACTAGTAGACCACTTGGACTAATACTAACAATTATTATAAAAAAACATAGACAGTCAATTTTAACTTAAAAGTTTTATTTCAGTTGCAACCCTGGCAACATGGCATGCTTATAGTTACTTTTATTTTAAAGTCAATCATATTCTAAAAGTCTTGTTTAGTTTTTTGTGTAATTTTAATGGTACATATGTACCATTTAAAAAGCAGACAAAGTGCAGACAACACCATCTCTTGGTGCTGAGAATAAATCACATGAAGGGCCAACATCTTGGTCCTTTTTAAGAACAAACTTGACCTTCTGTAGCAAGCCAGGAAAGACAACTTTGACAAAACATTCCAAAAAAGTGTCATTTAGATAATTGTGCTTTCTAAATGCAAATGGGAACAGCGTGGTCAGCCTGACATCCTCAGCACCCAAGAACCTCTTGGGGATGAACTCATTGGGATTTTGCCATCTTCTGGGGCTCCTCTGTRTAACATACGGTATCATTTGGATTTTGGTTCTGTCCTGGATCAGGTATCCTGCAATTCTTCCACGCCTCGTTGTCTTTGTATACACTGTTGAAACAGGGGGGTGCAAACGAAGTGTTTCTTTGATTACACATGAGGTGAATTTCAGTTGGTTGAAGTGTTCAAATACGACTGGAGCGTTTGTCACAATGTTGATGATTTCTTCGTAGACCCTGGRTAAAATAGAGAATGATAATAATTTATATTATTATGATTGATATATTAGCTGACTTCTTCTATTTCCTCACTGTTCACACAAGAAGAAACCAAGACAAAGCATTATTAGTATTACTCATAAAAAACTTTATTTGCACTATGCACTGTCTTGTGATAATTCCTTTTTGTAACCATCAAGGTCAAAAACAGAAGTTGATTTTAAACCAATAAGGTGTTGATCAGAGAGTCCAGCTTTGTGTGCTTTGTACTATGAAGAGATACTGAGACAATTAATTTTTTTTCTTCTAGGGACACAATGTGATGGTCTGATATGGAAAGAAAACTAAAGACCATCACATTTCTCTAGCCTCCTCCACAGACAACACTTCATCTTGCCCTCTTGGCATCCTTGGCCGAGCAAGGTCTTCAAGACAGGAATCCCAACGGTAGAAAGAAGAGCAGAAAGGAAGAGACACATACAATATATTATTTTATGTATATTACTCACTTTTCTTCAATTTCTGGATGTTGTAAGAGCTCAAGGAGCATGTACGACAGAAGACTATTTAGTTGTCCCTGACCTGAAATAATTAAAACTGAAATTAACTGAATTTTGTTGATCGATTGAATCGTTAAATGTTAATTGTTATTAAATTAATAGATAATCATTAATCAGCTTAATAAATTATTTATTAATCATCAATTTAATTGTTGCAATGATACTTAAATGACTTATTCAATATTAATTGATAATCAATTAATAATTAACCAATGATAAGTAATMATTAATCACACGAATACATTATTAGAAAAATAACGCACCGGAAACAAACACACAGAGAAACTCATCTAAAATGTCTCCCAGGGTGATTGAGTCATCTCTATCAGCAGTGGCCAATATCCATGTCAAGTAATCTTCTTCGATAACCTCATTGTTACGCATTGCAGCCCTCCTTCTGTCAACCACTTTCTTGCCAAAATCTCTCAGGAATTTCACGGCCTCAATAAGGTCATTTTGGTAGTCATAACTTGTAACATCCCATCGATGGAAWGGGTGTGCAATACTCCATGATATTGCTTTCTGGCATTCTTGCAATGCTTTATAGAATGGTGTATCRGGATCTTGGGTGCAATTGAGGTTGAGGCCAAATGCAACCTAGAGTTATAAATATATCACCAATTAATCATTTAATTTTAATAATTCTATATAATAATGAGCAATAMATGCATCAGTACTTTYRGAGAACAATGYGTCCGYCATCTTGAAAAGTGAGACCGGAATCACTATGTTGTACCTTAGAACACATTTTGTAGTTGCTTAGTCAACTAATCTATCATTRYATYGTATTATAATAACTTGACTTTAACTGAGAAGYTTTTAATTCCTTTAGAAATTATAATTTWGTGATTTGGGTCTCACTTTTCTGCTGAGCAAAAGTCTGAGGTCTACCTACCCCCACCCCCATGGTATGAACMTGGTCAGGTGCATCGACTTACCTTTCCTATAGTGTCCACTGCYAGCTTGTCAAACTGCTCCAGCATATTSACCTGTGAWTCCCCATCTGCCATACTTTGWAGCATTTTAATAAAYGTCTCACAACAGCCATTCAAGTTCTTTAAGTGYCTTTTTACACAAGCTTCATTGAAGACTAAGTTTGCTCCATAAATGTACAKTGCTCCCTTTGAAAGAAACCTCTGCTCAAACAAATCCCTAAAACCGTCATTTGAAATTGTGTCCTTGAAGTTTGAWAGCTCAAAGACATCCTGGATGACATCTTGGTCTTGCACAGAAACTAACGGTTTATGGAATCGCCAAGTTACAACCACTGGGCCATGCTTTTTAAACAGGTCTTCAAATACAAAGATATGGGATTTTTGAACTTGAAAAATTGTGGAATTTCCCCAGATAAAATTGTCTAATATTGGGCCTGGGATATGCTTGTACTTCTTCCGTAGATCATGAAGTAGAACAAGGGCGCAGAATAGTAAAGTTAGTATGACAAAAAGGGAAGAAATTCCAAGAAACAAGAGAACGGCAAATCCAACCGCCATCTTGAATGGCGCTGTCTTCTCACGGCTCGGAAGACTGGAAAGAAACTGTTCAACACRTGAAGGGGGGAGGAGTGGTTGAATAAGATTACTCCAAGATTTGTTCTGGTTGAGTGTATTAAATTCAAAAATCAATTATTTTTTCAAAAAGAATTTATTATAAAAGTTTTAAATTAATTTTTTTTTAAACAAAATATACTTGACCAAACAAACAGCAAGATAATCTTGCTAAATATATGTTGCTGTACCTCCCCTCCCTAAGAATTATTATTTGTTTTAGCTCCGCGCGGCAAAAGTCAAAATTTCACGAGATCAAGGAGTGTAGCTCAGCTCCTTGCGTGAAAATGACTCGTTTGTATCTAAATATCGTCAACTTTGGTGTATTGACCTAAAAGATTTCTCATAAAAGAATACGTTTTGCATATATTCAAAGCTGATTTTAACGAGAAACGTTTCCTAAATCCAACATGGTAACAACCTGGGATTACAAAGGCATCGAGACTGTCTTGACAGAAGCACCAAACAGAGAGACTCAGATTACAACTCTACTGAATTTATTTGGAAGCAGAAATGATGTATCGTGTCCCTGTATTTTTATTTATGGCCATACAAGTACAGGAAAATCGTGTGTGGTCAAAACAATCATGAATTGCCTTCAGGTAACAATTCAAATAAAGGCCCATTTGTATCCGAGATCCTTTGCGCGGTTCTATCGCATATGAAATATCGCCATCTCTCATTTTGAACCAATCAGAAAGCAATCTTCAATCAGAGATCATTTATAAAACAAAACGAATGCCTTGCAAAGGTTCTCAGATTTACATGAATGTATAAAGGCTCAAGTGACATGATCAAAAATAAGCCTGTGAATGTCAGCTGAAAATGTTAAAATTGCTCTTTAAGGTCGAAAATAAAACCCTTGCGTACCTTTTAGGGTCCTGAGCTGACTCCGTACCTTTTAGGGTCAATTTTCGAACAACGAAAACGAACTGTTAGAAAGGAATAGATTTCATTAGCCTCAACAATATATTGACATTGATTTTCTACAGTTTGTTAAACTAGAGCGTTTCTCTTGTTAAAGACGTCAAAAATGGTCGTACCTTTCAGGATCTGGAATTTATACCTGAATTAATTTATGTGTATTTTTAGGGTCAGTTTTCAATCCGTCCGTCAAGCATACCTACCAACATATCTAAGGGAAGCTGCCCCTCCCCCCGGCTCTTGTGCATGTATGGGTTTTTAATGGTGGATAATAAGAATTCCTAACAATCACCAAGCGCAGTGACCTTAGCTGTTTGTATTTTTTATTTCCTCAGCTACCACATGTGACTGTAAACTGCGTTGAAAACTTCACCTCAAAGTTGATATTTGAGCACATACTTCACTCACTCCAAAACACTAAGAATGAAGACTTTAGTCTTACACCAAGATGTGATAACATGGTTGAATTCATCCGTCTTCTACAACAAGGAATCAGAGAAAAAAACYTACAAGATGAGACCTTTTACATCATTCTAGACAAAGCAGAAAGACTACGAGAATTTGAAATGAATACTTTACCAGCTTTTCTTAGGCTTCAAGAACTCACATCACTTAATCTTTGTGTTGTGATGCTAACTGAGATAATATTAGAAAAGTTTTTCGTTGGAACTGGATTTCCTRTCCCTCAAGTTSTTCACTTTCCTGATTACTCAAAGAGTGAGCTACAGCAAATCATGTGTCTTGATTGCCCTAGTGAGCATCCACCATCATTCTACTCAGCTTACTGCCATCTAGTGTTAAGYGTGTTTTATACAGTTTGTTGTGATTTGAAGGAATTACGTCATCTGGTAAGATTTGTTAAAGGAGTGTTTACAGCAGAAACCGTTGCATCGCGACTTCGATGTTCAAAGAAAATACTTGGGATTTAGGTTTTTCTGCGACTTGGGGGCRGAGCTTRATACTRATCAGSCAATGATTGAACRAGTTTTYGAAAAGCTCCGCCCCTCAGATTGAAAGAAAGAACAAAATCCAGACAAACTTCAAAACAAAGAGGTYGCRATGCAACGATTTCTGCTGTAACATGTTGTATATCCAAGGATACAAGTCATGGGCCTYAYGTATTGCATTATGGTCTAGATTCAGTACAAAYATCTAATCTTCATGCAACCAAATAAAGTGTTGTTTGTAYTGAATMTARACCACAATGCACCATGATTTTGTATTTTAGAAAAGGT